TTTTTTTTTTTTTTTTTTTTTTGGCCCAGATTCATCTGGTTCAAACTCCTCATGAGTCACACACCTTTTCCCCTCCCAATCGGAATCCAAGGTAATCCAATTTCTCCTTGCTGTCTTCTCTTCCTCACAGCTGTCTCCATTTACCCCACATTACCCCACTATCTGCTCATGTCACTGCTGCCCCTTCTGTTTCAATGGAGCCTTCAGTTGATAATACTATTGTACATGTCTTTTCCTTTCTGTAAATTCTAGAAGTCAGTAGTGTACTGGCTTTTGATCTATAGTGTATACAACAATGTACTCGCCATAAAGATTTCAAGCTGCCCATATAAAATTTCCAATTATATGGGCTGGAGAGATGGCTCAAGGGTTAAGAGGCTGACTGCTCTTACAGAGGACCGGTATTTGATTCCCAGCACTCACATGGCAGCTATCAACCATCTGTAACTCCAGTTCCAGAGGATCTACCACCCTCTTCTGACCTCTGTGGGCACTGCATGACACGGTGCACTTACATACATGCAGGCAATACACTCATACACATAAAATAAAAATTTTTTTTTAAATTTCCAGATAGAAAGTTGAGGGGGTGTGCATAATGCCAGCAGGAATCAGCCCATGACAGCCCAGCAGGACTTAAATCTGGCCTGCAATCTGCAGCTGAATATATGCTGTTTTGTATAGGGTCTCTAGCTGCATTATACAGGTTAGTTTATACACTGCAATAAACTAGCCCTAGGAAGTGGAGCAGTGCATTCGTTTTAGGGCTGTTACAGTGTATGGGGCACAGTGACTACTTAAAAACCTACTTGTATGACCCACAGCTGTATGGGCAAAGCCAAAATTGGGAGTAGTTACAATGAACATAATCTCAGGGTTAGTGAGCAAGAACAAATAAAAAGAAGAACAAAGGAGCAGAATGGAGTGGAAATAAAATTAGAGAGCCAAATATATTAGTTATCTCCTAGCTTTCCACCTCTGTGACCCTTATCAAGTTAATTCCCTTCTTAGGCCTTAAATTTCCTCATCTAGCCAGAGTACCTGCAATCCCAGTACTCAGAAGGCTGTAAGTTCCAGGGCAGCCTGGGCTAAATAGTGAGACCCTGTCACTAAAAGCCAAAAAAAAAAAAAGAAAAGAAAAAGGAAAAATATTAATAGTAGCACCCTCATTTATAAAAATTGAAAGACTAGACCTCATGACTTCTAAAATATTCTTTAACTTTAGTGCTCTGGGATATGGGTTAAACAGAGAAGAAGTAGCTCATAACCCACAACAATATGCTCATTGTAAAGTCTAACAAGTCAATGGAGATTAAGGCAACAAAACTTTTCTGAAGGAGTGAAGAAACATTCTGGTAAGTCCACTTCATTCTTGGAACCCAAACATCCTGTGGAAAGATACAATGTCTTGGGGTTGGTTCAGTGGATAAGAGTGCTTGCTGTGCACTCTTAAGACTCCCCAGCACCCATGTCAAAAGCCCAGCATAAGCATATAGGGTTGAACCCCAGCCCTGTGAAGGCAGAGACAGGAGGATCACTGGAGCTTGCTGGCTGCCAGCCTAGCTCCAGGGTCTGTGTCTCAGGGAATAAAGTAGAAAGTAACAGAGCAGGACACCTGATATCCATTGTTATTAGTACTTTTCAACTTAAAAGAACACAAACTGCTCCAAGAAATGGATGCAAACTATGGACCCTCTCTTAGAAATAGGTATATAATCGTCAAAGTCAGAGGTCATTTCAGAGGTTCATAAGCCCTGTCGTCTATGGTGGTGTCCAAATATTGCACATTAACAACTTTGACCGACATCTGCAACTACATCTACCAAACAATAAACAAATTCAAGCTTGTAAAAGCCTGCTTCCTGCTTGCTAAGGGAGTATACTAGAGATTTCCAAAGGAAGCAATGAAAATACAGGTCTACTGCATAAAGGACTAAGTTTGATATCTGAAATAATATTCACCTAGTACCTTATTCTGAATAATATGCTGGGTAAGAATACTCTTTTTAAAAAACATATTATTATTATTATTATTTTATTATTTTTATTTTATGTGTATGCATGTATTGCCTGCGTGTAGGTAAGTGCACCTGTGTCATGCAATGTCCGTGGAACTGTGACAGAAGAGGCTATTAGATCCCCTGGAACTGGAGTTACAGACAGTTTTTAGCTGCCATGTGGGTGCTGGGAATCTAACCTGGGTCTTCTGCAAGAACAGTCAGTGTTCTTAATTGCTGAGCCATCTCTCCAAGCCCCAAGAATCCTCTTTAAAAAAAATTTTTTTTTTCATGTATGAGTGTATTGGCTGCAAGTATGCAAGTGCATGCATGTTGTGCAATGCCTGCAGGAGTCAGAAGAGGGCATTGGATTCCCCTAGAACTGGAGTTACAGATGGTTGTTAGCTGCCGTGTGGGTGATGGGAATCTAACTAGGGTCCTCTGCAAGAGTAACCACTGAGCCATCTCTCCAGCCCTAGATTACATTTCTAGTTGATCTATCATTTACTTGGTCAATGCTGCTTATTATATGACTCTTAGTTCTTAAAAGTCTATTTGTATATGAATGTGTACCTCCACTTTACAAACCGTGACTTCCATTTTGTGTGAAGGAGCCCCAACTGGCCATGACAATTACTTACACATGCACATATCCCAGTGAGCAGCTTCAACTGCAAAAAGCACAAAATCTAGAATAGGGCACAGCTTCCCCTTGGCTCTCACATCTCTGACCAAGTGATCTTGGAAGTCATTTAGCTCAGGGACTTATGTTTATTTATAAAAAGAGGAGGAGATAAGACTCACCTGAGAGAACTGCTGTAATAATCAACCACATAATGTATGCGAAAGTGATTAGTAATAAAACAGGCAAAAATAAATCACTTGAAGTTGCTCACAAAACACAAATTCACAGGTTACCTGGAAACAGGTGCTCATATAATATCTTTGCTGTGCTAATAAAAATTTCCTAAGTAAAATAAATTGTTCCTAAATTGTGCAAGGAATTTTGTCTTGGCTAAGTGCCCAATAGTGAAGTTCCATAACACCAGAAATCTGCTGAGAAACCTAGAGATTTCCATAATGCCCAAGTACAGTCTCAAGTCAAGAATAACTATGAACAACATAGTGCTGTTCCCAAGTAGTAAGTGGTTTTCACACAACTTTTGTTTTCACAGAGCAATGATTCTTTCATTTACCCTACTGAAGGCTTTGAAATTCTTAATAAAAATGCACACAAAAGATTTTAGATGAATTTGGACAAAAGTGACATAGATCAAATAAAACCAGTAACAGTATGCGGGATATTCTTTTGTAGCAGAGGAGGTATTTGCATTTAAAGGCGTAAGCAATACTCTCCAGTTGAAACATGTTTTCTCTGTAGAACTAACCTTTTCATTGGCTATGCCTCAAAATTACTAAACTATTCTACTATTCTTCACCTTGCTTCACTTAAATTTACAATGTTTGCATTATTTCAATAGCCAAATTTGGCGTTATTCTTGCTTTAAAAATTAAAGAGTTTTTTAGTAATTTCGTGCCGTGATAAAAAATATTCTATTTCCCCAATCTCACAAAGATGACCAAGAGTAAACTACCCTGACACCTGATTCAAGCTGCAAGCCTGATTTCTAAACTCAGACTACTCCAAGACTTTCTTTCCCCCAAGAAGGTAGGTTCTCCTGAGCTGACTCCAAAATACCCATCACTCGAATGTTTTCTGAGAAAATAGGCTACAGAGCTTGCATTTATGTAACACTTTTCTCCCAAAAGTAATGTACACCCCGCCCTCCCGCCACCCCCCCGGTTTTAGGAAAAGTAAATCTAGTATTCTGTGAGATCCTAAGGCCCTGGACTCGTCACTTCTGCGAGGAAATCCTATATTCAGGTTTTCAGAGGGTAGGGATAAAGCGTTGGGGAGAAGTCAAAAGTAGAGTAACGGACGAGAAAGACTAGGAGGTTGAAAACTGAGCAGGTGCTTGGAGGAGGATGGAGACCAGGTGGAGGAGAGAGCGCCTCAGTTGCTGGATGGACCGGCCAGGTGCGAGGTGGCGGGCCAGCCCCCAGGGTCTGCTCTGCAGCTGCCATCCCTCTCATCGCTGCCACTGGCGAGGTGGGTGGGACGCCAGCCGCCGGTGAGGAGCTAGTGCTGGAGCGGAGGACTCGGGGTCCGGTCGGCGCAGGCCTCCCACCCCGTCCCCGCCGCCCCGCATCTCACCCGCCACTAGGCGCAGGGTGCGGAGGCTCCCCATGGCCGACTGCTCCTCCGACGCGCGCACAGGACCTCCTTGGCCGCAGTGGCGCTGGCGCGCTCAATGTCACCGAGCGGCGTGGGAAGGACTCGGGCGGGTCGCGGGGCGGGGACCTGGTGACGCAGCGGCCGTGCCGGACGTGCGCGACGAGCGGGCGGGCGAGCGAGGCGCCGGCAGGGCTGTTCCCTCTCGGTTCGGCGCCAAACCAGGGCGGCGCCACGGCTTGCCTGGTTAACGCAGAAGAGGACACGAAGGACTGGCGTAAATTGTAAACGCCACCCTCCAGTGTCTTCACGACTCGGGGTCCCGTTGCCCTCCGTCATGCTGACTTTGGGACCATCCCTCGGGAAACCCCGGGAACTTGCGTGCATTTCCCCTAGCTGATTTTAAAGACCATTTGATCATTCTCATCACTTTTTCACCCACCCCGCCAGAAATTCCCATGTTTCTTGACGTTTCTTACTGGTCTCAAATTCATTAACAAATGCCCCACTGTTCTGGGGAGATTGCAGACAGCGGGGTAGAAAGGATTAGAGAAAAGCCCTGGAAGAGCTTGGCTCTCAGCTGCCTTGCCCAGACTTTGTGGTCAGGCGGCGCCGCGGACACCTCTGCCCCACGGTGATTGGCCAGCAGCGGGGTCCTCGCGTTCGTCCAATATGGCGGCGCCCAGTGGCAGTGTGAATTGTGAAGAGTTCGCCGAGTTCCAGGTGATGGGGGTTTCCTCACTTGGGAAGCTGATCCTTCCTTTTGTCCCCAGACCCTGTTCCCTACTCGGGCCCCGGAGGGAGTACAGATAAGTTGTGGAAAAAGCAGGCGGTCCAGAGCCCTGTTTCTGGAGCCTTTGGAGGTCATGGGGGCGAGGGGTGGCCTTTGGAAGCGTGGCTGCTCTGTGCGGGCAGGTATCTGGGGGAGTTGGCTGAGGAAGTCAGTTCTCGCGGAGCCACGAGGTCCTCCGGGTCATTCTGCTGTGAAGCCGAGCTTGGAATCCGTAGGTAGGGATTCTAATTGTTAAGCAGGTGCTGAATTAAGTTCCCAGATTCTGCCCTTCCTACCTCTAAGGTGAGCTTTTGTGGAAGAGAAAGAAGTGAGAAGAGACTATTTGCTTGGTAAAACAAGATATTTGGCACGCTGTCCTGTTTGGTGAGACAAAGTGTTTGGAAGATTGAAGGGAGTGTTCATTCTAATACTTGGTGCATCGCCTTCCTGATATTTAGTGGTGTAGCATTTAAGAAAAATATATCTTTTTATGCTAAAAACATAGACAGTCTAGGGCTTACTACTCCCATGGATTCAAGAGTGAGAATCCGGATTTTGATCAGATCGCTATGAAAGTTACTTGTTCCAATTCTGTAAATGCGGTGCTGTCAAATTAGAGTTGAATTAAAGCGTCATGACCTTTAAAAATGTATTTTAGCTAGATATTGAAAATTCGTTTCACATGTCATCATTAACCTGTGGTAATCTTAACACTTTGCGGTGTTCTTGAAGATAACTCACCAGATCGATTTGTTTTTCAAATAATTTGGCCAAAGAAATTTATAAAGGAGGATAGTCTATGGTTTAAAGGTCAGAAGATCTGGTTATCCAGAACTGGCCTTGGCATATCGTTTAACCTCCTTGTAAATAGGCATTAGCATTTGCCCCCACTGCCTGCGAGATAGACCAGAAAATAAAGGTGCTGTAAAAATGTAAAGTTTTAGTGTAACATTCAAGTGTAGGTGAATTTGGTAAATACCATACCATAGTTGCCTGGCATTCTCAGGGTTACAATACTACAGAGGGTGTTGAAAGAATTATACAATGAATGCTCATGTACCTTCCTCCTAAAGTCCAGAATCAATGATTTGCTGTTTGCTTTGACCACATATCTATCCATCTCTCAATCCATCCATTTGTCCACCTTTTAATTTGGGGAGGAAATTTGAAAGTAAGTTGCAAAAATCAGCATGCATCTAAATATGCTGCATGTATATCATTAACTAGAGTTCAGTATTTTCTGTTTTGGAGGAGTAAATTTTGCATATAGTTAAGTGCACAAGTATTTAAAAATAGTGGTGAGAGTTTGACATTGAAGTACAGTTGTAATGCAGACCTCTATTAACGTAGAAACTGATGCTTTCACCTCTAAAAGTTTTCTCATGCTGTATCCTAGTCAGTCCCTGCCCCTCCCCTCAACTATTAATACTAGAATTCTGATTGTTTTTGTTTTAAGCTTAAGTGACTTTAAAGCATTTTGATTTTTTTTTTCCCTATTGTAGCATTCCTGGAAATACTCTATTTTCAAAGTGAAATACAGCCCAAAAAAGAAAGTGCCTAGAATCCCGATTTAGCAAGCATTCAACAATTCATTGCATTACTTTTTTAGTCTCCTCAGGCTGCCGTAGCAAAGTACCGCAGACTGGGTGGCTTAAACAACAGTTTCTGGAGATTAGAAGTCCAAGATCAAGGTCCTGTTAGGCTTGATTTTTGGTGAGGGCTTTCTTCCTGCCTTGCAGATGGCTACTTTTTCTCTGTGCCCTCACACATTTTCTCTATGCTTATGCACAGATGAAGAGGGATCTCTGGTATCTATTTCTTTTCTTATAAAGAGCCCCAATTCTGTCAAATTATGGGTACTTTCTATGGCCTCCATTTTTAAAGATTCATTTATTAATTTATTATTTATTTATTTAATAAGATGTTATGTTGTCAAAGCTGGCCCTGAATGCCTGGGCCCAAGTAATCCTTCAGCCTCAGCCTCTTCAGTAGTTGCAACTATATGTGCTTGCCTCATTGTGACCTCCATTTTACCTTCAGTACTTCCCTAAAAGCCCTACCAACAAGGAACTGGGGCTTCAACATATACTCCAGAATACACAATTCAGCCAGTAACAGATATCTATGAGCTACTAGGTTCTTTGGGCTATCCTGGTGGACAGATATGAAACATGGTGCTTTAAGGATTTTTTAAAAAATGGAGAAGACACAGAAAATATAAATAAAATGCTATAAGCATTCAAAAAGAAAGAAATCAAGAGATCGTAATTGAGCTAGGCCTTTGATGGATAATACCACTTGAATTCTAGGCAGAGGTACCAGCACAAAGGCAAAACATTTCCTTGACAGTCACGTATCACTTAATAACAGGGATATATTAGGTGATTTTATGTTATGCAAATATGAACAGTAATTAAACATTATCCTAGGTTTAGGTCAGTCCTTGTGGCTTCTTGGTGCAGTTGAGATGCACTAAAACAGATAAATGAAGCTAAGTAGAAGGAATATAAAGTAATAATGAAAAGTATCACACAGTAAATTCATAAACTAATGAGTCACTGCCATCATCAACTATTACTCTACATGATGATATATGTGCTGTTACTTACATGACTGCAAGCACAGTAGGTCTGTTTATACCAGTATCAACAGAGACAAGTATTTTTCAGATCCGTTATCATCTTTTGGGATCATCCTCATGCCTTGGTCCATCAAAATATTATGTGGAGCATAAGTATATTTGAGGGATATCACAACCAATATTACTGGAATATAGGGTTCTCACAGGACACAGTGGTATTACATGAAGATTGGAACCATGTTGTGAAGGCCTTAAATGAGAGTTTTGAGATTAAGATTAAGAGAGGAGAGAGATTTAGCAGAAAGGATGAGGTGATCAAAGAAGTACATTAGCAGGGCGTGGTGGCACATGCCTTTAATTCCAGCACTTGGGAGGCAGAGGCAGGCTGATCTCTGAGTTCCAGGCCAGCCTGGTCTACATAGTGAGTTCTGGGCCAGCTGGGGCTACAGGGAGACCCTGTCTCAAAAAGACCAAGAAAAAAAAAACTTTAGGAAGAATCCTAGTTTTCTGCTACTGGCTTTGTTTAGGACTTGGCATTTTTGCAGCTTTGGAACAAGTCTCCCTATCATTAGTCACTTTCTCTAAGGATAGATTATACCCCTTCAGCCCTACAGTGCTTTTATATCATTAGCTTCTGAATTTTAGAATCTAAGCCATATGTAAGTTTTAGGCTGAGATAACTAGATTCAAAATACTAAAGGTGGCATAGAAAACCTTTTTTAAAACCCAATCCTAAGGTGCCTCTCTAGACAACACCTCTGACACAGCAAGCCTCTTTACCTGCTGAGCCATTTCGTTGGCCCATGTATTTTCCACAGTATAGCACTCACTGTCTAATTAAACTTTTTGTGATGGTATAAATTGCTATATTTATGCTGTCTACATAAGGTAGCTGCTAGTAATATGTAGCTCTTCAGTACTTTCTGCTGGTCCAACTGAAATTCTCAAATTATAAAATTTCATTTAAACAACCTCAACGTGCTAGTGTCTGCCATATCAGAAGCCCAGCTTTAGATCATGTGTTGCTAATGCACTAGTCCACAGAGAGAAAATGTCGTATTTGGCAGCCCACATTTATAGGTTCTGTTAAGACTGCAAAAGTGGTGGTGTTAAGGCTAGCAAGATGGCTTAGCAGGCAAAAATGCTTGCCAGGGAAGCCCAATGACTTGAGTTTGATCCCCAGAACCCACACATAAGCAGGAGAGAACTAATTCCCAAAGCTGTTTTCCTGACCTCCACATACATACTGTGCTCCTCTCTCCATATCATATACACAGTAAAACCTTTTTTTTCTTAGATGGTGGGCTCATTACCTAATTAATGCAGACAAATTCCCATAGCCGTGTAAAGATCTTAATGTTTTATTGGGAGGGATTTAGCTACAGTAATTAGGAGATAGCTAGTATTCAAACTAAAAACTGGTTAAAGTTCAGCATCAATAAAAACTAACAAATGCTAAGCTGTGTAATCTTTTGCCTCGGTTGCTATGTTGGTCTCCTAAGTGTCTAATCCAGTTTTCATATTCCATGCTTTGCTCTTAAGCAGTCATTTCAGGACAAAGATCTAGTTTAATGCCACCATTCTACAAGCATTACATTCATTTTCTATGATTCTTAGGAAATACTAGTCCTGTAACATAATCTGCAATATCTTACACCGTATTTTCTTGTCCATTTAACAGCCTGTTTAAATGGCTCTCATTAAGATCATCCCTGTAATTCTTGAGCTCTTTATAACATTCAGCATGACTATTCTCTTCTTTAAACTTTTCTTCTGATTTCTGCAACATCATGGACTTTTAACTCTACTTTAGGTTCTGGAGTTCCTGATGATTGGTCCCCTTCAGTCTTCCTCAGTGAGCCAATGTCATGGCTTGACGTAACATTACTTTGTTCATATTTTACCCTGATCAGAACTTCTTGAGATAAATTTCAAACATAAACTAAAGAACAAATAGTACCAGGAATCTCCACTACCCAGACCAGATCCAAAAGCCAGATCATGTTTTCTTTTGTTTATCTGTACAGTCTGCTTGTACCACTTCTCCACCCTAAGCAGATACTGTGAAGCACATCCCCAGGCATCATACCTTTTTTTCTATAAATGTTTCAATCTCCAAAAGACTACAACTTATTTTGTTTTTTAAATTTCATCTTCCTTTCTTATTTGTGTGTGCATGTGCCACAGTGCATTTATGGAGGTCAGAGGACAAATTGCAGGAGTCAGCTCTCTCAGGGATCAAAGTTAGGTCATCAGGCCTGAGAACAAGTACCTTTACCCACTGAACCATCTCACCAACCCAAGATTAGTTTTTAATATACCAGTTAGCAATAATCTTTAACACTGCCAAATATGCTGTGAATCAGAATAAAGCTTTTTAAAGATTTTATTTTTGTTTTATATGTGTGTTTTGCCTGTATGTATGTAAGTGCACCACGTGTGTCTTGCCTGGTGCTCAAGGAGACCAGAAGAGAGGAACTGGAACCAAACCAGAGCCGTGTGTAAGAGCAGCAGATGCTCTCAACTGCTGAGTCATCTCTCCAACCCCAAACTTTTTTTAAATTACATTTATCCATCTACTCTGTGTGTGTGTGTGTGTGTGTGTGTGTGTGTGTGTGTGTGTGTCCATGTATGGGTGGAGGCCAGAGGACAACATGAGGGAGTTGACTCTCTACCATATGGGGTCTGGAGAATGAACCCAGGTCACCAAGTTTGGCAGCAAATGCCCCTACCCTCTTAGCCAGCCTCAGAATAAAACTTTGTTGTTTGGTTTTGGTTTTGGTTTTTGAGACAAGGTCTCCCTGTAGCCCCATCTGGCCTGGCACTTGTGATGTAGCCACTCTGCCATCAGTTTCACAGAGATCTGCCTGCTTCTCCCTCCCAAGTGCTTGAATTAAAGGCACATGCCACCACACCTAGCCCCACAAAACTTTTTTTTTTTTTTGCCTTTTTGAGACAGGTCTTCCTGTAGCCCCAGCTGTCCTAGAACTCACTAAGTAAACCAAACTGGCTTTGATATCCACCTGCCTCTGCCTCCCAAGTGCTGGGACAAAAGGCGTGCGCCACCATGTCTGGCTTCCCACAAAACTCTTGATCCCATTCTTTCTGAATCTTTTCCTTCCCCGGTGTCTCCTCACCCCGATCATACATTTGGTTGCTCAGGCCTCAAAGTCACCCTATTATTTTCTCATGTATACCACCAATTTATCAAGAAGCCTTACCAACCTTATCTTTAAAATACATCTTGAGTCCAGTGACCTCGCCTTAATTCTAAGGCCACTGCTTATCTTTGTCTCTTGTATAGACCACCATAATACATAGTCTCCTAAAACAGAATTGTTCTCACATTGGTGCTCCATGTTTCAGTCCACCCTGACCTCACCTCATACCACTTGCTTGCACATAAACTGAAGAATTGTCACTTTTTAATTCTTCAAAACGCCTAGGCTAGTTCTTGCCTCCCAATTTATGACTTATTCTCCCAAATTTCTTTCTGTTCTAATGGTCTTGTGATATGGTTCATTCACATCATTAGGGTTTCAACATAAATGTGAGAGCTTAAGAGAGACTTTTTTTTTCTAGCTATCTAGCCACTTGTGCTAATGTCTTTGAGTGAATAGACCATGCTTTCCCCTCTGAATTTAAATGCTATTGTTATTTTTTAAAGATGTTTAAAGGTGTTGCACACCTTTAATCCCAGCACTCTGAAGGCAGAGGTAGGTGGATCTTCCCATTTTCAGTAAGGTTATGATTTTCTTAAAATTCTTGGACAACTTCATACATGTATATACTTAACTTTTGCCCCTTCCATTATCCTCTCTCATCCCCCTCCCTTTCCCTCTGAAACCCTTCTTCCCAGCTTGTCTCCCATTTACTCCCCCACCCCCGTGTGTGTGTGTGTGTGTGTGTGTGTGAGAGAGAGAGAGAGAGAGAGAGAGAGAGACTCGGTGACTCCCCTTTGCCTCCAAGTTTAATGAGCAGAGATAGATGGTTATTTACTGAAGCATGGGCAACTTATCAGTAGCAACACTACTGATGAAAATGACATCCTTACCCCCAGCAACCCTTAACTGCCAAGTCCTCGGGGGAAAGGTGGGTCCACATGAGCCCCTCTGCCCATGATGAAATGTTGACAGGCCTAGTTTTGTACTGGTCACCACAACTGCAGTGAGTACATCTGTGCAAGGCTCTATGATGCCCAGAAGGCATTGTTTTGTAGTACTCCTCCCCATTCTGAGACTTCATTCTTTTATCCACCTCTTCTAAAACGTTCCTGAGCCTTGGAGTGGGTAATACAGATGTTAAGACCAAGCACTCAGCAGTCATTTCTTCCAAGAACTTTGATCAATTTGGAATCTGCATTGACAGGCCACCCACTGCAGAAATGAACATCTCTGATTGAGGCTGAGAGCAGCACTAGTCTATGAGCAGAGACATAAGTATTTAGTTTGACAACATATTCATTTAGCAAAACAACAGTTGGAAGTTCTCCCTTAGCATCTATGACCTTCCCAACCATGGGCTCTCACCCAGGTTTATGAGAGGGTAATATCAGGTTAATACCAGGCATGGATTCCTATAGAGTGGGTAAAGCAGATGGTTATCCCTTTATAGTCATACCACTGTTAAACCAGTGGTTAGGTATTACATAGCAGGTCATTGCTGGAGTTCACAAGGTTCGCAGCTGGATAGGACTGTTGTTAACTTTTCTCCATAGCACCTTTTGACACTATGAATGCTAGTCAACGGGGAGGAAGCCTCTAGCTTAGCTCCCCTCTTGGTGTCTTTATGTCCTGCAGCCAAAGTATATGCTGCCTTCAACGATAGGATCTTACCATCTAGCTCTGGTGGGCAACCAAGAGCAATGGCAATAGCCTGTATGCTTTTGGAGGGGCTTCAAGCTTGTAGGATGGTATCCCACACCCAGCACTAGGATTTTCATGCTATAACCTATGGCTTCTGGAGAATATTATCCATCCATACAGGGTACCTCCATTCACACTTGTTTTGAAATTACATTTTTAATTACTTAGAAAATAGCAGGTTTCAATAGGAATTTTTCATAATCCTTAGTTTTGGTTAGCATTTCACCCTACCTTCTCTCCCCCCAATCCCACTTAAACCTTTCCGTCTCCAGTTTTCCTCCCTCTACTTCAAATCACCTGTGTTCTGTCCCCCTCTCTTAAGGCCTCTTAATCCCTACAGGCACTCCAGGTTAAACTGGTGTAATATTTGAAGCTAGGTTCGGGGGTGGGGGAAGGAGAAAAGAGGAGAGGAGAGAGAGATAGGAGCTGGTGTTTGTAGATAGGCCTTTCGTGATTTCCCTACCCAAAATAGCACTGAGCCCCACCTCACATTCATTCCCTGAGATTAGCTTGCTCTTTTTCAACAGTATTTTGCAATATCTGAAATGATCTTCACTGGTGTGTTTGCTTGTTGTCTGGCTACTTCAAGAATTGCACTCCACTGGGGCTAGAGAGATGGCTCAGCAGTTAAGAGCACTGGCTGCTCTTGCAGAGAACCAGGTTCAGTTCCTAGCACCTACATGGTAACATCTGTAACTCCAGTTCCAGGGGAATCCAATGCCCTCTTCCCGCCTCTGTGGGCATTGAACATGAATACACGTACATAGTTGTAGACGATACATTCATAAAATAAAAATAATAAAAAATTTTTAAAAATTACACTCCACAAGAGCAAATAACTTTCTGTGCTCATTCTCCACTGTAGCCCTGGTTTTTAGAATAGTGTCTGAATCATACTAGACATGTATCAGTAAATATTTTTTGACTTTGGTTTTTTGGTTTTTTTGTTTATGTAGTTCTGGCTGACCTGGTGTTATTAAAATTCCTTTTGGGAGGCGCAAACACCATCCAGCCCCCTCTTCCCACTGTCCTTATGACAAACCAAGGTCTAATTTCTCCAAACTACAGTTTGGGAAATTAAAGTTTATTAGGTTTACTTACAGAGCAGTGGGTGAGAGTTTACTCACAAGAGTGTGGGTGCTCCCCCCCTTAAGGCTGCACTGGAAAGTCTCCATCCAGGTGTGGATAGTGGCCCACAGTCACACAATATGACGAGAGGTTCTCCCTGCAGCTTTCTCTGCATATATACCCTTAGTCCCTCCTCCTCATGCGCCTAGGTAAATTGGTTGGAAGAGGTGGCTTACTCCCCCACCCCTCCTTTCCTGTGGAAGGTCAATAGTCAACAAGTGTGTGATGATCTTTAAGCAAGCATGTGCTTGGGAAGAAAAGGTGTCTGTCCATAGCTTGACATTTGGAGGACAGTCCTATGCCACACCTGGAATTCACTATGTAGACCAGGCTGGCCTGGAACTCACAGAGGTCCACCTGCCTCTGCCTCCTGAGTGCTGACATGAAAGGCATGGGCCACCATATGTTTTTTGAATACAGAGTTGTAGGAATGACTTTCACAATGTAGACATAATCAGGACTAAAGAGTGTTACCTAACCTTGCTACCAAACCATTTCTTGTTAACCTGGGCATATGATGGTAATCCTTCAGGACTCTTTGACCTCTACCCAAGATAGTGTAAGATAGTACATGAATGTGCATAAGCATGCTTTACATAGCAAAGCACTGAAAGCAGCATGCTTTTCTCATTGCAAACAAAGAGAAATCTGTTGTGTGTGTAAGCAAGCCAAGGGATCAAAGGACAAAACTCTGGTAAGCGTGAGTCCTGACTTCTACTTCCCCATTTCATGCTGGATATATTATTTCAATGAAAGAATGAATGAAGCCTGGCTTAGAGCACAGTTCCTAAGACATCTGAAGGACTGGGTGCTGGGCAGATCTGGTTGCTCTTGGCCTTCTGAATGCTAAGAGGCTGCTTTTTTTTCTGTCTTTTTGAGACAGGGTCTCCTTGTAGCCCCAGCTGTCCTGGAACTCACTATGTAGACCAGGCTGGCCTCGAACTCACAAAGACCTGCTTGCCTCTGCCTTTTTTTTTAAGCAGAGCTATAATCTGACTTAGGAAGGTGGCAGTGAGAGAGTTAATGTATGTAGTAATGAACTCCATGGTACTGTAACTGCTGCATCAAAGAAGGAAAATTGAGCCAGGCATGATTGCGCACGCCTTTAGTCCCAGCACTTGGGAGGCAGAGGCTGGCAGATCTTTGTGAGTTCGAGGCCAGCCTGGTCTACATAGTGAGTTCCAGGACACCTGGGGCTACAGGGAGACCCTGTCTCAAAAAGCAAAAAAAAAAAAAAGAGGGAAAATTGTTGAGGGTGTTCCTGCCAAGGAAAACAAAGGTATCCAAAAAGTATAATTGAAACTTGGCTTCTGAAGATCAATTCGATTTAGATAGAGGAAAAGAAGATTTTGAAATGATCTTTTTTTTTTTTTTTTTTTCTTTTTTGTTGTTTTTTGGAAACAAGGCCCCCCTGTACCCCCACCTGCCCTGGATTTTTTTTGGAGCACAGGGTGCCCTAAAACTACCGAAGCTCTGCTTGCTTCTCCCCCCCAAGTG